AGAGAGAGAGAGAGAGGTGAGGGGGAGGGCGATAAAGTTGTTGTTGTTGTTAAGTGCAAACAAATAAATAAAATAAGTTAAACAAATATTTACGCCTCTTTATTTTGTCAATTAATGTTCGTATGATAAAACGTTGGTTCGTGTTCTTCGCAATTAAAAAAAAAAATATTAATGAATATTTTGTTTTTTAATTTTGGGAGGATGAACGAGGAGAGAGAGAGATCTCCCATCCACTAGTCAATAGCAAACAAGATCACTGGCAATCGATACTTGCGCACTAGACCGGCGCGTTGTAGTGGATAAAGGGGACTATAACAACAAAAAAACAGAGAGATAGAGAGAGAGAGAGAGAGAGAGAGAGAGATAGAGAGAGCGAGAGAGGGAGGGAGAAGAGAGAGAGAGAGAGAGAGACAGACAGACAGAAGTGAGGGGTGAATCGAAAGTTTGATCGGGAGAATGTGCAACATGGATGTATGACTAGGAAAGGAAGATGAAGGGAAGGTATAAGTCCAAATGTTGTTAGAATCGTAACATGTTTAGGACAGAGGAGTGGCAGATGTGAATAGCAATGAATCGGAAGGCCTCGTATATGTAATCGCTCAAAGCAATTTCTCATCAAAGATATACTTAAACTTTCTCTACTTGCCATACAAACAACCTTTCAGCACTTCACAATCAAAAGTGTAAGCCAACTTTTGGCGATCGATTAGGGCCGCCATATATTTTGTGCCCGGGGAGAAAATATATGAAAATTTGAAATGCAGAGTGAAGAGGATACAACTCGAACAAACGTAGCCCCGGGGTTAGAGCCATGAAACATATAGGCGTACATCCCGTATCCCTGCGTTTGATGGGGTCAATATTTTGGTCAAATATTCAGCCATTCTTATCATCTTCTACAGGCAATCGTCACGTGAGATGTGATGGATGGGAGGGGGTGCAAATCTTCGATTACAATCGTTTTTTTTCTTTTATCAAATGAGGGATAATAGGTGATCTGATTTCGGTGATGCCTCAAATGTCGGTGTAGATTACCCTCGGCGAAAGGGCATCGCATTTGAATGACATTTAGACAGTGAGCGACAGAAAAGGAACACTATTAATGTGTTTATTACGCTTAACACATTTTGGACTAATTTCCCCTCCATATGTTGCTCCAGCATTACCTAAATATGAATCGTTCCTCAGGATTGAATTCGATGTTGCTATATCGTCGCATAACTATCATGCATGGGGATTCGCGATGTTTTTGAAAGAGTGTTTGTGATTTTTTTTTGTCAGGATAATTTGTCGAAATGATCCTCGGAAATTATGAAGGGCAGGAATGAACAACAATTTTATTAAAGATTCGACTTGGATAATCGCTCAATTTCCACCTGTTCGTGATTATTTTCTTACTTCAGCCGACGAACTGTTCAACTTGACTGCCTCATCTAAAATTCAATTATAATCCAAGCGATTTCAATAAATTCTTGTCTTTGACGAGATTAAGTCCAGAAAAATTATTGCTGGAGAGAATATTTTGAAATTCGTTAATATCCATTCATCTATGTGCAAAAACAGAACAGGTTTATATATTTTTAGACTATGGTTATTGATAGAATCATCAACCCTTTATAGACATTTTGTGGCTTTAAAGAATAAGAAGCAAAAGCAAAATTAAACTAACAAAAAATACCGAGACATGTGTGATGTAATCCATGTTTGATCCAAACAGGTGAAGTATACTCGCTCTCATCATGATACTCATGTCTTTGTGTCCGTTTCCCATACTGGGCAGAATATAAACGGTAACCGCATGCGTCGAAATCTTTTGAGTTCTTATTACGTTACATCCTAAGAAAGAGCAGAGCAAAGGAAAAAATAATTTTCTCTACATAGTCAGGCCGATCTATACGAAGTGTGGGGAAAATGTCATATACAACAGCTTTGGAACTCTCGTTGAAATAAAAAATCGAGAGAAAATGAAAGAATAGTAATCGCCTAGCTTGAATTTAAAGTTCCACAATGCTGTCTACCTTTTTTTTAGCCTTAACAGAGATTTCTTCGTAAAAGAGGGCAAAAGTGTGAACTTTGATTCATGCATCACGACCATTGTTCTTTCATTTCCTTTCGCATATATGCAGTGTGTCCCAGATAATTACGAAACCCTAAAACAAACGGCAATTATGAAAAAACATGAACTGCATACCAATGATATATTCCTTTTCATAAAGTAGAAGAAATATGCTTACAAAAGATAATTGCACGAATCCATACATGCTTCACCGCACAATGAATTTTTATTTTTTAAAGAAAGGGCATACAAAATTCCATTTGTACAAAATGTTGGTAACTCAGTGTAAACGGTATTATAAAATGCGAAACATGACGTTATGGAAATGTAAGCTTCAAACAGATGATTATGTAAGAATTTAAATAAGCGATGAGGTGCATTTAAATAAGCATTTATTAGAAATAAAGTCGAATATCCACTTCCGGGATTACAGGGGAGATCAACTTCAGATATCCCCCAAATTAATAAATATTCCTCGAGCATTGAAAAGTGCCCCTTTACTGGCTAAAATGGTTTCCAGCCTGACAGGAAAATTTCATATTCTGATGGTTTATTTTCTACATTATCGAAATGCACGGTGCCCCTTACTTTGATTTTTGTGGAACTATCAACATACTTTTTTGTTGTTGAAGTTCTGATAAATTTTGTAATCACAGTTCATAACAATAACTTATTTAAGTAAGAAATATGCCGTTTTTACCCTCATTATGAACTATATTTCCAATATCTTCTTGCATGATGATGGCAATAATCCTACAGTAAATAGTCTTCTCGGTCGTTTTTTTACTTTTTTTTCTTCAAGTCATGCTCGGTCAATACAGTTATGTTCCCGGGTGATACCAACGCTTTCAACCTGGTTGATCATTCGCTCAAATCTGGCTCCCACGAATTTCAAGCCAATGTTGCTCACAGAAGCGCGTACGGATTAATGTAGTCAATGTATCATTTGAAAGCATATTACTTCCACTTTATGAAAAGCAATGAATTCTATTTATAGAGGTTATACTTTGTTCACAATATTCGTGTGATATCGGATTTAGTTTTTTCTGGGACGAACTATATAACACGATCGCAACTATTTCCCCCAAAAATAGGCTCAAGGGAAATCATTCCGAAGTCTGTTATACGTCATTTTCATGTTTTCAGTAGGTGATACAAGGCCATCGTCATTACCTTAGGTTGATTTTTCTAAAGTAATTGTGATCATGTAATACATATTTATAAGATGCCCATTAAATTGAACGATATATTTAAATGATCTAATCCTAATGGAGATTGTTGAACAAAATGCATTGACAAAATAATACAGAAAAAGATAATTATGCACTAACATGTTTCTCATTATATATGACTATATATATATATGTACTGATGAGAAAATGAATCAAATGCATCGATTATCTTTTTCTTGGTTTGATTTGTCGATGCATTTGGTTTAATACTTTCTGTTTATGATTAGATCACGTATATGTGGCTTTGAATGAAATGGGCTTTAGGTCAAACATATTTGAGGTCAGAAGCACTTGAAAAACAAGGTATGTTGAATTGTCCACGAAGTCATTTCCTATTTTTAAAGTGTCATACATTTAATGCCTACACGCTGTGACATCTAATATTCAAACGCCCCCTACGTCGTAAATTTGATACGGCGGAACCGGTATCGCAACCGTGGACGGTCCCCCATTGCAGGTACGTCCGCGGTTTGAGGTAGTTTTTTTATGGAGTGGTCCGCGGTTGCAGGCGTTTTCCTACGCACAGACACACACAGACACACACACAAAACAAAATCGTAATTTAATGAAAAGGGCTATCAAATAAAAAAAACACTCTGTTGCCGGTCAAGAATCTGCTTTACACGTCGGAAATGACAAAAAAGAAAACGTATTACTACTTTACTCTTATCCAGTCTGTCTTGCTGAAAATCATGAAAGGATCGATTCATTTTACGTTCTCTGATTTATTTTTTTTTCACTTTGAATTTTCTTCGTTTCGTTTCCGTTCTGACTGAACGCTATACCACTCTTGACATTTATAAAATGACATAAATCGGAAAGGAAAGAGTGAGTCTTACAGGGAAAGGACTTTAGGTGATTGAGTGAGTAACACTCGGTGAGAGATACTACGACCTGTTAAATTACAAAAATATGATTAAGCTATACTTATACCTGGTCAATATGTAGTAAATGCTTTATATTCTGCGAATCTTTTGATGTCAGTAAATGAATTTGGGGGATACAGCTCAGAGCTGCATTGAATGTTCTTGTATTATTCTCACACGATTTAAAAATAGGACAAATATTGAGCCTTTTCTTCATAAATACATCCATAACTAATACTGCTACTTACTATTCCTATTACAACTGTTCCTGCTACTACTACTACTACTCCTATTACTACTACTACTACTACTACTACTACTACTACTACTACTACTATTACTACTACTACTACTACTACTACTACTACTATTACTATAACTACTACTTATACTTCTAATTCAACTACTATTACTACTACTGTTAATACTACTAATACTAATACTACCATGAATTCTATTACTACTACTACTATAACTACTACTTATGTATATTACAGAGACATTTCTAAGTACACTTAAACAATTAAGGGGAAAATAATGAAATTAGCAATTTACTTACCAACTTTATTTTTGTCTCATTTTGATCTTCGTTCTGCTCCTTATCTCTCTCTGTCTCCTGAATCTTTTGTATCTTCTTTCATTTCTTCTCCTTACCGCATCTTTTTTCTGACCCACTTTTTCCTCAACTCATTCACACCTCTTTTTTCTCTCTCTCTCTCTTTTTCTGCCCCCTCTGTTCAACACAATCTGTCTCTTTATCTCTCTGACTCTCTCTCTCTCTCTCTCTCCCCCTCCTCTCTCTCCCCCTCCCTTTTTTTTTTCTCTCTCTCTCTCTCCCTCTCTCAGGAGGCGTACTTATACCGGGCCGTCACCCACAGCCAAATCATGGGGCTCATCGCTTCGCGGGAGTTCGTCTACATCTTACGGGTAATACGGAGACCGGAGGAGGGGTGCATCGGAACGTTCTGTCAGAGTATTGATCACCCCAAGTATCCCGTCCAGAACACTCCCGTCCGGGGGGTCAACTACCCCTGTGGTACATTCTTTCAAGTGCAACCAGAGTAAGTGCTCAAATCATCGAGCCTCACTGCTCAAGTGTTTCAATTCTGGATATATTGATCTCGTTACCTTGTATACATGTTCATACATGACAACGTACGGAAATGCATCATTGAATATCCTGTTATTTGTTCATTCATTCCTTTTCTCGGAGGAGGGGAGGAGGGGGGGGGGGGGGAGTGGTGTGTATCAATCTTCATCACTCCGAATTTTTTTCTAACAAAGTGATAATGAAAAAGTATGCATAAGAAAATATTTTTGTTTAGATTTCTATTTTGGGGGGTTGTAATCATGTCATTTCAATAGAACAACAATGCTACATTTATTTCATGTCACTGGACTGTGGATCACATGTTTTCGCGGTTCTTGTCCCGCAGCGGTTCTCTGACAAGACATTAATCTACATTTGCCACTCTCCACCCAGTTGTAGAAAATGGGTACCCGGGTAGGGAGTTATTCTCTGAATGCCCTCAGTGCCTTAGGGCTGCCGGGCTGAAGCCAGGGTAATGATACACGTAGTACTTTGCAAGGACCTTGGACATCTGGATGAATGTGCGCGCAATGTAAAAACAGTTAATATTATCATTATATTTCGATTTTGCGCTAAATTTAACACGACATTATGTTATACAATAGGCTTGCGGGTGCACCATGTGTGAGAGAGGGAGAGGGCGCTTGCACCCGCAAGCCTACTGTATATCTACATCACTATGCAAGCATCTGACATTATTTTGTTTATTATATCTCGTTTTCTCATATGCCTTTTAAAATCCAATCCTCAGGCAATTTTGAGTAATCCTAAGATAATGGTTATTTTCTATACTCAATTTGTGAAGGATTTTGATTCCACTTGCAATTTGCATATTTTCAGTCCTTACTTAAACGTCTGTTGTTGATGCCATCTCTATCGCTTTCGTTTTATTCTATGAAAATTTAAACTTTTCTATGCGCTCGCTTTGCCGTCTCTTCTCTTTGATATGGTTACATCAATTCATTTCGATCAGTATAATATGAAAATGAAAATTGCCTTCTTATTGCCGCCGTCTTCATCCATAATTCATCATCATTCGTTTATTACATTTACCGATCTTCAATGTATAATTTCTTGGTTCTTTCCCGTTTCTTTCAAGTTTAACATTCATATTATGGATTTATGCAATGATCCCCCTTTCCATTATTACTCTTTACTCCTGACTTTTAACTATTTATCCTAATCCTTTTTTGAGATTTATACTTAAACTTATCTATTTTTATCTACGATGTTACAGAGGTGCTCCTGCCATCAAAATTGCGTACGGCATGAACGCTACTATTTTCTTTTTGAATTGGCACAGTAATGCCCGTCAATATTAAATACCATGATGCGTTGTATTTCTATAGATTTAACAAAATATGTATCGCGTAGGAAACCGAAGCTAAGCAAACAACCCAGCCGAAGATGACGATATTACCACAGCTGTCGGGGTCCGGCTGTCTTTTTGAAACACCTTCTGAGTTTCCCAAAGCATGTAACTTGAGTATTTATCCTCGCCTTCTGACATTTCGACGAGAGCTGCCGTTTCCGGGTCTCTCCGTTATCTTGTTGAAAAGGGTGTTTTCTTGAATCGAAGTTGCATACGTTTTGAAGCGCCCAGGGTTGTGGAATTGATCGTAGGAAGCAGACGTATAAAAGGCAATGCCCGCTCAAGATTTCCGTAGTAATGATACACGCATCGTTGCCCTTGTGCCTTGTCCTTTCAGTTTGTTCTGTTACTGTTTCACCTGATTTGATAATAATAATAACAATAATCCAGGGTTCTTGTAAAGCGCTCGTTTCTGTCAGACTTGACACTCCTGGCGCTCGACAATTATAACTCCGACCTAAACATGGCTGCCATTACGGCGCTCTAGCCTTCTCAGGAATTATAACCTGCCAGGTACCCATTCACTTCACCTAGGGCGAGTGTGGCAAATGTAGATTAATGCCGTGCCAAAGAACATAACTGACGCGGCGGGACTCGAACCGCGAATCATGTGATCCACAGTCCGATGACGTATCCATTAGACCACGAAACCTCCTCATATTTGGTGAAAAATTGTTACTTTTTGCTTATTCATTTTCTTTCTACCTTTTTTTTACTTTTGTTAACCTTTTTCTTTTCTTCTACATTTGCAACACTCGAAGCAGGTGAGGTGAATAAATACCTGGTAGGATCTAATTCCTTGAAATGCGTTGCTGTTCTTATCATCATTTTCATCGTCACCATTGTTGTCCTCCGCATGGCCATCATCATAGTCATCGCCGTCGCCATCACCGTCGCGGTAATCATTACCATACATCATCGTCATTGTCACCATAATCATGATTATTATCATCATCATCATCGTCATCATCATCTTCATCACTTCTTCATCATCGTCGCGGTCAACCTCAGCCTCACCATGCTCCTTCTCTTTCTTTGCATCTTTTGTCGCAAAGCTTCATCTTGCGAACCCAAAGTAATTTATGCATATGAACGCCCTCTTGCCAATATATGAGATGCATTTTTCTTGTCCTTACATTTCTTTTATCTCTTATTCAAAGAAATTGAAATGGTAATATCACCGGGTAATCCTCGGTAATGAAAGATAAAGCCTACTATATTCATTGTTTTTTAGATCTTTGCTCAATTTGAGTCCCCGTTTGGATGGATAAAACACAAAAATAATGAGCAATTTTAAAGTCAACAGTTATATTGTATTTTCTACCCCAGCTTATGTTAAAGATATACATTCTTTTGAAATGATAATTGGATGCAAAACGCATCTTATTCGGGTCGAAGTTTGTGAAAACAGTTTTATAAAGAAAACTTTAAACTGTTTTTATTGTTAATGTACATTACGAATCTATCGAACCTTGAAATGGAGATCGGCCTTGAATTTTAACTTTTTAAAAGTTCAATCTCACTCCTTTTTCATTCCACAAATAAGTCTCTCTTTATTATTTTTTTTTGGTATACACATCTTATTTCCGAAGCAATATCATCTTGCCTTCTGATATTACCAACCCCCTACTGTAACTGCACTCTTCCTGTTCCCCCTGTTTGTACTCCTTCTCATCAATCTTATTCTACGGTAGTCCCGGTGGTGAATTTGAATTACAACCTGATGTGTTAATCAATACAGGCATGTGGGTGTTTGATACATCGCGGTGACAATAACGACGGGAATAGTATGACTTTTGCCATGAATACATTCTAGGAAACGGCAGAAATGGGTGTAAAAACCTTTACAAGGAGTGTCACTGCTTTCTAAATGTTCGGATAGCTCTGTATAGACGTATCACACTTCCGCGCTAGCATAAATCATACATTTCAACTTACAAAAGTTTCTCAAGCAAACGCATTTCTTTTTTTGGGGTTTTATTCATGTATCGTGACCTTTGATATTAAAAAAAAATAATTCTAAAGATGCAGTAAACAATAAACATGATGTTGTCAAATCTATCATTAATACTGAACTGCCCTATAGAAACTTGATAATATGACGTCATGAAATGCCCGTCCGGACAGTGATCCTCTTCGGACGTGTATGAGACAACGTGATGCCGACTCCGGCGCCACTAGACCAGAAAATAACATCTTCGGCACCACGTACGTCAAGATAACAGCACGAACGGGTGCCGGTTCGACACTCTGGGTGGATCCGGGAATTTCAAAGAAGGGGGTGGGGGGGGGGGGGGTTCAATTACATATACACAATTTCGGGAGGCAATTTACTGTATGGTGTCCGCTTAGTTTCAAAGGCGACAGGGGTGGATACTTGTCGATGGGCCCCCTACCCCTTCCCCTCCGCCACTGTGACAACATCTCTTACGAAAGGTCAATGGCATATATTTCGCCAAAATGCGGACGATCACCCATATCGTATATCGGTATCGACAATCCCCTTTCCCGCGTTTTCCCACCTTATCTTCTAGTTCCTTTTTGTTCTCGCCCCGGGGGAATAAGACAATATAGGCACATTAGCAAACGATTAAGTCTTCATTGCTGACAAATGAGATTCCACTATACATAGGGACATCTCCCTGCAGGCTGAAACGTTAGAAGTTTTTTAACCGCGAATGCGTTAAAGTAGAAGAACGATTGCGGTGCCTCTCAATACGGCTATCAATTTCTGATCTTATCTTCCGGTATGTTTCTCTTTAACGTAAAAAGCATTAAAAATGGTGAGCAGGATTGCTAGTAATACATCCATTTGTGTAATGGACATTTTAACCGGTGGATGCATCGGCGGGTTTTTGTTACAAAATTAAATTTTAATGGCATTATGTCTGCGAGATAAGTCTGGAGCAATGCGCCACGTTCGACAGGTGTTTGCCCATGCTCACAACGAATAACTGAGGATGAAAAAATGTTCCTAAACTCTGTTACGACCTTCTGAAATTCTTACCAAAGTATTGGCCCAATAGCGCAGCATACTTTTTGGCAGAGTGCAGTGAAGAGCTTTAAAATGATGAAAGCATTCATTCAGCATGATCGCAAATACTTTCGAAGAACCAGGCATTTTAATAGCCTTCTCAATCAATAGACACTATAGTATTTGTATTGCCCTTGGGTGTATTTTTCGAAAGTCTTTGCGATCGTAGTGTTTACACTGCCTTTTCTTTTATGTTTCACGCAATCGTCCGTGAACGCAAAACAAACATCCTATGAATTAAATAGAAGCCAAACGAAAAGACAAGTCTTCGCAGACGTGTCCTAGTCGAGTGATTTAAGCAATCAACTCAAAATGCAAAGGTCGTGGGTTCGATCCCCGGACATAGCACCAACATCCTTTTGGCAAGGCATTAACGTTTATTTTGCCTTTATAAAATCTCAATCATGCACCCTAAATATAAATATTGTAAATATGTTTCAATACAACCGCTATATGATTCAAATCACCTCCGTTTTCAATAACTAAGAAAGTGAAAATCATGACATTTCTGTATAGAGCAAATTGGAGAGGACTTTGCAAGAAACGTCACAGTGTTGGACATATG